ACTTACCAGGTCTATCTGGCAGGCCCACCCCACCCCCAGCCCTACCCTCTGAAAGGCACAGGATCCCTTTAATACCAGACCCTGACCCAGCTGCCACAATCCACCAGCCAGAGTATTTAGTCACCTCATACCCTAAAATCAGCTCAGCTCTGCCGCATAGGCCCTAGATGTATGAATTCTCCCCTAGCCAGAGCTGCCTCTAAGAACAGCAGTGGGGCATAGAGCCCAACTATAAGGAGCAAAGATCTGAGGTGTAGTTCTAGCATGTCACTGACAGGCTGGCTAACCTTTGCAAGCTCACTTTTACTCTCTGTGACTCAGTTTCACTCTCTCTACAAGGAGAAAGTTGGATTAAAGGACCTTCAATCCACTTCCAGTTCAGGTATGAGTCTGTGTTCCAGGACATGCCTAGGCATGAAGGAGGGCATAGGAACTGGGGCCTAGGGTCACAGGCCAGGTGCTAGGTCTTCCTTTGCCACTTACTAGCTGTGGTTGTCCAACTTGTCAAGATGGCAAAGGACATAGACGTCATGGGAATGATTGTGAAGCACCATAAAATAGTGACAAACCATTTTTCCAGTAAAACTTTTGGCTTTATTATGTGTGTTTGTATCTTTAGACCAAAACAACAATAACAAAATAGTAATACCAGTACTGGAAACATTTCTAAGAAATTAAGTATTATTTCTAAATTTTTGACTCTATTCATTTGCAAGTTCCCTGCTCATTTTTTTATCTACAAGAAATCATGTGTACAAGGCCTTACCTGAACCTTTCCCTGTTCCCACCCCACTCCTGCCAAATCACCAGTCTACCACTCACTTTGCCACCCACTCTGCTTTTCTTTGAGTTCCTAGAACATTCCTAACATGTTCCCTCCTCAGGGCCTTTGAACTTGCTGTCTTCTCTGCCTAGACTTACTCTACCCTTCAGCTCTTTCAGGTCAAATATCACCCTCTCAGCAGGGCTCTCCCTGGCTTCCCCACCAAAAATTCCAAACCCATACACACTTCCTACCCGCTTGGCCTATTTGCTCACTTCTGTTTCTTCTTAGCCCTCGTCAATGACCTACCATCTATTTTACTAATTATTTATTGTCTCTCTCCCCCACTGGAATGGAAGCTCCACAAGGGCAGGGACTTTCGTTTGCCTTTTTTTTCTTCCACTGTTGTTTTCCCACTGCCAAGGACAGTGCCTGGGACAGAAAAGGCACTCCATTCAGAAGCTGTGTTTTGGATGAAGGAATGAATACTAACAGGCACCAAATGTTTAATAAATATTTCTGGGAGAAACACAGTTAACTGAAAAGTATATCAACAATCTGCAAACTGGGAAAGCTTTCCATTATTGTCAGTGAATAACTTCAGTCCAGCTTTGGAAACTCCAGTGAGGCTCAGGAGGGGAGTTTGGAGCCCTGGGTATAAATGTTCTCTCCATATTGTGTGTTTTGACTTGGATTGGCTAATACTATCAGCTGCCTTCCCAATCACAAATCCACACTCTGTCTGGAAGCATCCAGTGATATGTCAGAACACAGAGTCTTCTAGAGATAAAAGTAACCACAGAGAATGTTTCCTCAGCGCCAGGCTCTGGGCTTGAACACATTTCTGGCACTATCAGCAAAGCTCACAATCACCCTGTGAGATGAGCGCTGTTTGATCCCTGTTTTCCAAGTGAGAAAGCTGAGCGTCAGTGAGGTTGTTTCTTGCCCGAGTGCACACAACTAGAAGCCGCGCGGCAAAGGTTGAAATCCAGTTCTTAAACACTAAAGCCCTACCCTCCTACTCTTATCTCCCATTGTCTGTCTCCTTCCCGCTACTGAAAGTCCTCTCACCACCCCCAAGCCCCCAAGCCCCCAAGCCTGGAGATTTGTGTTTGAGGATTAAAATATGTAGACATTACCACAACAGGGAGGATATATTGACAATTGCAAACAGTCCATTTCTCTCCATGTGTAGAATTAATGAGGCTGGTGCAAATGAAGAAAAGCTGGACAGAAAAGAAACCTGTGTTCAGATTCTGATTTGGTCAATTTCCTTGAGCAAATGACACAATCTGAGCTCCAGTTTCATCTAGTTTAAAAAAGGAGGGTACTATCAACTTCACAACGCTGTCACGAGGACAAATTGAGATCATATTTACGCATGGGCTAAGCCAGTGCCTGGCACCTAATAGCAGCTGAGTGAGCGCTGGTTTCTTTTCCTGCCTTTCCACTGTCACATAGGAGTGTCCTCTCCTTTGTAGTTCCTTCCAACCTCCAGGACGCTGCTATGTGAGCCGTAGGGGAAGAAAACTTCTTCCTCAAGGGAAGATCCTCTTTTCCCTTTCATGCATTTGCTTTCCCGCTCACTTTGATGGCCCTCAAGTGAGGTATGGGGCTGCAAGAAGTGGACATGACTTAATAAAAAGTCAGACTCTTCTTAAAAACAAGGAAGATCTAGAAATCCATTATGAGGTAATGAAGAACCCTTAGCGTTTCCCTTCTTTTTGGTAAATGACAAATAACCATTCAGATCTTAGTGGTTCTCATCTTACATAAGATTAGCTAACAACACTAACGTTCTGAAAAGCAACCCATGTCAACTAAAGAGGAAAAAAAGATTAAATCCAATACAGAATCTTTTCTATGAAAGATATGTTTCCAAATGTTTGAAGCTTCATTTTGTTGCCATGGTACCATCATTTCCAACTATTGTCAGCTCTCTTGAAATATTCAGTAGGGGCAAGCCTATCCTATAATATTCAACTGTTTTTTGCCAGTTTATTTAAAAGCACCACTCTGTAAGTGCAACTGAACGTTTGCAGACGTCTGTAGATTAATACTGAAATGAAAATATTTAGCAAAATGTCTATCCTTAGATAATGCCATAATAATAACACTTTGAATTTATCCAATGCCTTTGTTCTGTGCAGCTCAAAGGGCTCTGAAACCATTATCTCATTAATCAAATAGCACATTCCTAAGCTACAGTATCATGATGTGGTTGGTTAGTGGTGTCAGCAGTTCCACTCTGCAAACCACATACTGTTGGTAGGGGACCATTGGAGCAAAATGAAATAATGCAGGGGAAAAAGTTCACAGCTGTCTTGATGTGCAAGTCCTAATGCAAATCATGTTCTCTATCAAAGTACTTTCCCAGGATTTCACCGACATTGTCTAGGTTCCCAGTGCAGATGTTAGGAAAGAATGCTATCATTTTCCTGAACTGGTTGTTCCAAGTAGAGTGGGAAGAGAAGCAGACCGAGGTCCGGAGGCCTGGTCCTTGTGGAGACTCTGCCTTCCACTTACTGGGTGCCCTACTCTGTGTTATTTCCCTCTCTGCACTGAACTTTCCTTGCCTGAGAGAAGAAAGGGTTGAATGGACCAGTGACTTAATGCTCTACTGACAATGAAATACTTGCCAGCAAACAATGAGAACCCTCATCATTTTTTATCAGTCTTCTATATAGGTATCTCCAAGATTTCATGGGAAAAAACTTACAGGTCCCTACTCCCCTGTTCACAGCCAGCATTAGTCACAATAGGTAGTAACTCAACTGCTCATTGACAGATGAATAGATAAAGAAAATGTGCTCTGTCCATACAATGGAATATTATTCACCCTTAAAAAGGAAAGAAATTCTGATGCATGCCGCAATGTGGATGAACCTTGAAACATTATGCTTAGTGGAATAATCCAGGCACACAAAACAAATATTTTATGATTCCACTTAGATGAAATATATAAAATAGACAAATTCATACAGATACAGTAAAATCATTGTTATCAGCGGCTGGTGAAGGAAATTACTGTGTAATGGGGACCATCTCAGTTTTGCAAGATGAAAGAGTTCTGGAGGTGAATGGTGGTGATGGCTGAGCAACAATGTGAATGTACCTTCAAAACCACAAGGAGATACCACCTCACACCAGTCAGAATGGCCACTATCCAAAAGACAAGAAATAATAAGTGTTGGCAAGGATGTGGAGAAATGAGAACCCTCCTACACTATTGGTAGGAATTTCAAGTGGTGCAGCCACTGTGGATAGCAATATAGAAGTTCCTCAAAAAATTAAAAATAGAGATACCATACGACCCAGTAATTCCACTTCTAGGAATTTATCCAAAGAAAACAAAATCCCTGATTCAAAAAGACATGTGTACCCCTATGTTTATTCCTGCATTATTTACAATAGCCAAGATACGGAAGCAACTAAAGTGTCCATCAGTAGATGACTGGAGAAAGAAGAGGTGGTACATATACACAATGGAATATTATTCAGCCATAAGAAAAGAAAGGAATCCTGCCATTTGGGACAACATGGATGGACCTAGAGGGTATTATGCTCAGTGAAATGAGCCAAGTGGAGAAAGACAAATACCATATGATTTCACTTATTTGTGAAATCTAAAAACAAAATGAACAAAATGAACAAAACAGCAGTGGATTCACAGACACTGAGAAGTGACTGGAGGTTACCATGGAGGAGGTGTTGGGGTGGGTTGGTGGGGAGGGTGAGGAGGATAAAAGGGCACAAAAATTCTCAGTCATAATAAAAGTTGGTCACGGGGATGGTAGTACAGCATGGAGAATATAGTCAATGATTCTATAACATCTTCCTATGCTGACAGATAGTAACTGTACTAATGGGGGTGAGAGTTTAATAATGTGGGTAACTGAACCACTGTGGTGTATACTTGAAACCAATATAAGACTGTATTGTCTTGTACTGTATTGTATATCAACTGTACTTTAATAAAAATAAAGCTATGTTAATATACTTAATGTCACTTGAAACAGGTGGCAGTAATTTTTATGTTATGTGTGCTTTACTACAATTAAAAAATAGAAATAGAAAAACATAGAAGTTCCACTGCTAAGATGAATTTGATAATAGGGGTAATAAAATTGCTTCCAGGTCTGAAGTATATCTATGTGAATCTCAAAGAAATAGTATTTTAACCAAGAAAAAAGTGATCACTTAAATTCCACTTTGTTACTATTGGAAAAGTGAGTCAATGGCTGTGGGTAGCAAAGAAAAAAACCCTTTTCTCCATACTATCAAAGTGGGTTTGTGTTAGGAGAAAACCATCCTCCATAGTTTTGCAGAAAGAGCAACTGGTCACTACTGACTTCCTTGCAGGGGGACAGTGGGCCCAGTGATTTATTTCACACCAAGTGACCAGTGTGCCAAGTTGGAAGGGACAATGTGAGTCATTGTTTTTTCCCAAATTGTTAGATTGGAAGATAAGGAGAGAAGGCCAGGTGAAAATGGGATTTGTACTTAACATACTTGAGGGCTAAAGTGGCTTCTATTCATCGTGAAGCAAGTTTACTTTTTGGAGCTAGAATGGCTGTTAAAATACTAGGGAGAGGAGGGCGGGTGAGGACCACCTTCAGAGCAGGCTGCTAGCGGTACCATGGTGACCCAGAACCCCCTCCCCAAGGATATGAAAGTGATGATGACCCTTTGGAAGTATTGGATTTAACTCAGTATGCAAGAAGACACGGTTGGCAGAATCAAGTGTTTGGCTACAGTTCCAGACCTAGGGTAGAAAAATACTCAGTAGCCACCCAGATTGCAGTGGGTAGAATGACTGGCTGGTATGCAGAAGTTTTGTTCCAGAAAGTTGGAAAACTTGCAGCAACTGTGGTAGGTGGTGGCTTTCTTCTTCTTCAGATTGCCCATCACGGTGGCTATGTGCGGACTGACACAAAGAGAGTTGAAAAAGATGTAAACAAAGCAAAAAGAAAGATTCAGAAACAAGCAAATAGGGCAGTACCTGAAATCAACAATATAACTGAAGACGCAACAGAATTTATCAAACAGAATATTGTGATGTCCAGTGGATCTGTGGGAGGCTTGCTGCTAGGCCTTGCATCTTAAGGATATCAATGTTGCATCACAGTGGAGTCGTCTTAGAAGAGAAGTGGTGGCAATAAGGTGCCCTCTTAATGTTACACACCATCAGAGTCTCAAGGGCATCAAGAAACAACTAGCTAGAAAATACCAAACTCACAGCTTAGTGTTTTGCCACCCGAAGTTTGGCAAACTAATGTCTGCCACAAAATGACCTATTTGGTATGTGTATAGTATTCCTGAGCAAAACATGGCCTTCGTTATTTTTTTAGAATTTGAGTTTGTTTAGAAATTAGTCTATACATATCACCATTGGCTGTAGATACAGAGAGAAAAAAAATCTGTTGGACACAATCTCCAGTGAAATATTACCCTCGTTCTACTAAAATATGTTCTTCATTGTGCTTTGTAGTATATAGTGCCAATAATTAAAAATTTGTATTACAGCTTCAACAATAGGGCTGCCTTTTTTAAAAATTTATGTTGGCGACAAAGTGAAGAACTGTAATGCCCTTTTCTGGAAAGATTTAGAAGTAGTAGAATTATTAAAGATATTAAACAGATTTAATACAAAAAGAGAAGTTTGCTTTTTGGGGATATTCAGCTGGAGACAACTTGCATAGCTTTCGGAGCTGCAGCCTCTTCCTCCCAGGTCTGCCACCCATGCCTGAGGCCAGGCATGCCTCAAATGCACCTCTGAGGGAAGGAATTGGGATCCTCTGCCCATGATTTCAGTCCCCACTATCAAGCTAAATGACAGCCTTCCTACAGGGGAGATGAACCCAGGACCCAGAACAATGTACCTACCTATGGGGTTACCTTATCCACCACCACCCAAATGTGAAAGAAGGAACTGAAGCTTCTCTTTAGTCCTAACCACATTGGGAAAAACATATAAATTATTCCCACTGGAAAAGGAGAAGATTGTCACAAAAATTCAGGCTTGGTTGAGGCCAGGGTCGGGATTGGGGATGGTCCATAAAGGAAACTTGGAGAAAGGAAAGGAGGGAATGGAAGGGACAAAAGTGTTGACCTTGTTCTCAGAGTAGGAGAGGGCCAGCTTACCAGGGTCTTTAAATGCAAACTTCTGAGTTGGAGGAGGAGCGGCGGAAGGACCCTGCATTAGTGCACTTCCTCAAAGGGGAAGGCTAACGGTTGCCATGGGAACCTTGGTTCTGTCGCTCTCTGCCTTGGATGAATGTGTAAAAGTTGCCTAGCTGGAGATTTTATATTAATCACTAAATGTCCTTTAGGAGAGGATTTGAAGAATTCTCTTCAGCAGATGCGTTTCAAAACAAAGCTAATTTCTTACTGAAAGCTAACTGTGGGAAGGCCCAGTTTGTTCAGAAGCAGGATGAAAGGCTAGATGAGGAATCACTGACCAGTCTTGGCTTGGTTACTTGCGAGCTGTGATACACTGAACAACCACAACCTCACTGGGCCTCAGTTTCCTTACAAAGCAAGGATAATAAAACCTCCCCGTTACGGGTGTTTCCAGGCCTTCGGTCCACGTGGAAAAGCAAAGACGGAGCAGGGCAGGAAACACTGTGTCCTCCCCAGGACTGATACAGAGCTCCCCCAAAGGATTTTGTATCTGATCATTGATATAATCACCAAGATAAGCTCATGAACATTTTCTTTCACAGATTCTGAAAATGGGAGGGAGTTCTTACCCTTTCATATAACAGATGAAGTTCCGAGGTTAAACGATTTGCCCAAGGTCACATTGCTACAAGGTGGTGAATCCAGGATTCAACCCCAAATCCTTTTGACTCCAAGGTCCAGGCTCTTTCATCCCCACCAATCTGGTGTAAGAAGAAATGAGCCCGAAAAAGAAAAGGTAATTTTTAAAAATGCCTGTGTTGGCAATAGGTACACAAACACAGCCCGGATGCAGCTGTCTCCAGATTTCCAGATCAATTTAACACCATTTTCCTAAAAAGGACAGTATTACTAAAATGGCCAGTGAAGTAGATCAAATAAAATAAAGAAAATCTGTGTTGTTAGCTAGATTTGTTTAGGTAATTTTAAAGACAATTCCCATTATTCCCCTGTTTTGCAGCTTCTGTACTTTCATTAAAAAGAAAAAAGGTCTCCTTTTAGATACTGGCACATCTCAGGACAATGTCTTCCTAACACCTCCAAAGGCATAGAAGATCAACTAGAAAATCTATATAAAATTGCAAACAATTGGCTCCATGATATGAAATGCTTGTTTAATGGGGTTTGTTTTCTTCTTCAATAAAAAGAACCTATCTTCAGCCATCAACCAGTTTGAAAAGCGGACCATCATTGCTTATTCTGTTTTGATATTTCTCTACACTTTAAAATTTGCCGTTCCTTTCCCATGGCAAATCAAAGGTTTTCCACAAAATCCTGCACAGCTAAAGTAAAGCCTTAGTTATACATCTTTCTATTCTCTGATGAGTAGGGCTGTGTTTTTGTTATGGTAAATAAGTATCTCATAGAAGTTCAGAAGGTCCTTTTTAGCAATCAGTTGCAAAGTCTCTGAGGAAAACAGTCTCTTCCCTAACCTTTATTTCAGACCTGAGTGATTCTGTTCTCCAGGAATCCTTGCACAAGATAAGCTTTGTAACAAAATTGGATGAGTTGGACTAACTCTTAAGTAAATGAGTGGCCTTTTCAAGAAGATACTCTTGTTGGAAGAGAAAGATGTTCTGCACAATTAATGTTTGCAAGAGGGTCACTGAATAGGTCACATTTTAACTGGTGGCAATATATCACTCAACATCCATTGGCAAGCTGATGAAAGCATTTGATTGGCCTCAGCCATCAGAACTCAAAGCCAGGAATTTCTGAACCTTGCAAGGAGAGAGAACAGTTGGGGACAGCCTCTTAAACAGCTGTAAAATGTAGCAGCTTTAAACCTCCAGCAATTCCACCCTTTTCAAACTGATGGCTAAACAACAGCAAGTACATTTTAGTGAGCCACTCTTCGTAGGTCTGTTGCCAAAAGAAGGTCCCTGCGTACAGTGTAAGAGACTCAAACGTTTTCATCGAATTCTGTACCTGAGCTGATTGAAGTCATTAGTAGCCTCGATATAGCTGGATCCACCACGCCAGCCCCCAGACTCTTACAGAGAGATGAAAATCAGGACAGCATGAGGTTATAGACTTGCAGAATGTCAGAGCTGGGAGGGAACTTAGATTTCAAGTGGAACCCCTCCTCTCAATCTCTCAGATGAGGAAACAGAGGCCCCCAAAGTTGACTTGCCCAAGCGCACAAATGCTTCCTCCTAACTGCAAACTTAACTATTTAGCTGGCTTTTTAGCCCATTTCCAAGGGGAAGATGCCAAGACTTTGAGCTTAATATTAAAACTAAGTCTCTCTACCTACTTCAGAGTTTTGTTTTGAAGTTTGGGTGAAAGCAAGCCCCCTCCCACCCTCCGTGCTCCCAGAATCCCCAGCTTAATAGTCCCTGTTTTCTCGCTATGCCCTTCCAGCTTTCTCCATCTCCACCCCTCCTTAAGGGGAGGTCCCATTACTTGGTGGCCCACTTAGGATAGCAAAGCACTGCCGTCCAGAAATGTCATGTGGAAAAGCCCAAGGACCCCCAGTTGGTGCTTTGCTCCTCCCAGCTGTGCTTCCTTCCCGAGCAGAGTGGCACTCCCCTGTGCTCTGGCCTCCCCGCGGGTTTGCGTCTGGCCCCTGGGATACTATCATGACATAATGCTGCATTGTACCTCAAGGCGAAAAATGTAATGAAGGAGAACGCCTCCACCTCTTGTTCCATTTCCTTCATTGGAAAAGCGGGTATCATCATCCAGGCTGTTCTGTGAACTGCGCCTGGCCCAGGACAACAAATAGGTTTCTGAGGACAAGGTGATTAGACCAGCGGTGCTGTGTGTTTGATTAGCGCCAAGCAGCTCTCTGTAGAGGGATAATATCAGGCCATACAGTAACAAGACCACGTCTTTTGATTTGGGATTGCTCCCTCTGTTGATACAATCCATTATCCCATTTGCCTTTCTCACTACACCACGCACCGCACCGAGGGCTGCAAGAAGTTCTCTGTAATAACCTCCAAATCCCTCAGCACCTGCCTCTGCCAAAGACCCTCCCTTGCCACGTGGGTGCTTTTTTTGTCCTTTCAACATCACTTTGAATAGTTAGGTAAAGCTATATCTCATCCTAGGGAAAAAGGAAACTACGGCCTCATATTTAACAAGAAACAAAATTGGGCAGAGCATTTGAGTCGCTGTTCACTTAACCCTCTCCCTGCTGCCCTTGTCTTTGTTTCACTGCTCCATCTTCTCAGCCACTGAAATAGATTTGATGAAGAAAGGAAGACAAGTTTCAGAGCTTGGGGCAGCTGCCAAGAGGTTCATTAAGGAGATTTGCCTTCACAAAGGCAACTCCCATGTCAGTTTTTAAAAGGCGCACAAACAGTATGATGCCGCCTATCTCAGGCCCCTAAATTACCCAGTTTCTAAAGCAGAAAAGGGTACCCACCCAGAATTTGTCCAGACTCTCCAAACCCCTATTATAAATCACGTAAGATGAATGGAATCTCTTGGATGCTAAAGGGCCCTTCCCAACTATGAAAACGTGTTCACCTTTGAAAGATGGACACATTTGAAACCATTTCACATCCAGCAACTTGCACAGAAAAATCCATGCCAAAGAAAAAACTCTTGATGAGATCATTCATGGCATTTGCCGATGGAACTGGCGCATTGATAAGAAAGCGGAGACTATCAAGAATCCAGACTTGTGGGCAAATAACAGATTGTGTTTTCGTGTGGACTGGCAAACCCCCTTAAACTCCGGCGGCATTCGCATGATGCAGTCAATATCTGTTTTCCCTTTCTAAGCATCTAATTTATGTTCATGCAAGGTGCTCCTGCTTAATTATGATTCCTCCCAATTTGGACTGTAAATCGAAGGTAAATTAATAATTTCGGGGGAAAAAAAGACCTGGGCCCTCTTCTCCTCCCTTCATTCCTAGCTCAGCCGGCTCGTGTATGAATTAGTGCTCTGAGAGGCCTGAATAGCAGAGAATGGA